GTAGAATTATTTCACCATATATGTGTTGGTTTATTTCTGGGATCTCTGTTCTATTCTATTGATCTTTATGTCTGTCTTTATGCCAGTACCACACTGTTTGATTATTGTAATTTGGTAGTAAGTTTTGAAATCAGTAAATGTGAGTCCTCCAACTTGGTTCTTCTTCTTGTTTTTTTTTTTAAAGGAAGATTGGCCCTGCGCTAACATCTGTTGCCAATCTTCCTCTTTTTCTTTTTTTCTCCTCAAAGCCTCAGTACATAGTTGTATATCACAGCTGTAGTGTTGCAGCTCTTCTATGTGGGACACTGCCTCAGCATGACTTGATGAGTGGTGAGTAGGTCCTTGCCCAGGGTCCCAACCAGCGAATCCCAGGCCACTGACGCAGAGCGTGCGAACTTAACTGCTAAGCCACCGGGCTGGCCCCTTGGTTCTTCTTTTTCAAGATTTTTTGGCTATTCAGCGCCCTTTGCAATTCCATATAAATTTTTAGGACCAACTTTTCCATTTTCCACCCTGCAAATAAGGCTGATGGGGTATTGATAGGTATTGCATCAAATCTGTAGATTGCTTTAGGTAGTATACAATTGCCATCTTAGTTTAAATCTTTCAATCCATGCACATGAGATGTCTTTCCATTTATTTAGGTCTACTTGAATTTCTTCCAGCGGTGTTTTGTGGTTTCCAGTGTACAAGTCTCGTACCTCTTTAGTTAAATTTATTCCTAAGTATATTATTCTTTTTGATGCTATTGTAAATGGAATTTTCTTATTGTCATTTTTGGATCGTTCATTGCCAAGTGTATAGAAATACTATAGACTTTTTTTGAGGTTGCCTGTTTTTTCAGCTTTACTGAGGTATAGTTGACAAATAAAATTGTAATATATTTAAGGTATAGAACATGATTTGATATATAATATACACTATGGAAGGATTCCCATCATTGAGTTAATTTCAATTATATCATACAGTATTATCAACCATAGTCACTGAGATATTATTGATTTTTCTATTTTGATCTTGTATCTTGCAACCTTGCTGAACTTGTTAGTTCTAATAGTTTTTAGTGAATTGCCTAGGATTTTCTATACGTATACAAGATCACGTCATCTTCAAATAGAGAGCTTTACTACTTCCTTTCCAGTCTGGATGCCTTTTATTTCTTTTTCTTGCCTAATTGCCCTAATCATGTATAAACAAAATGTGGTATATTCATATAATGAAATATTATTTGGCCATAAAAAGGAATGAAGTACTGATATACACTGAACAGTGAATGAACTTTGAAACATTATGCTAAATGAAAGACCACATATTACATGCTTTCATTTATATGAAATGTCCAAAATAGGTAAATTTATACTGATAAAAAGTAGATTACTAGTTGCTTTAGGGGGTGGAGTGGGTGAGAGTGATGTGATGATAGGGTGCAATGCCTAATGGCTACGGTTTTTGTTGTTTTTGTTTGTTTGTTTGTTTTGTACACACACAACCCAGCATTTATTACATGTGGGAGAGAGGGGTTTCACTCGGTCCAGCGGTGGCCGAAGCGTGGGGCCCTGGTACTACGAGTGCTTGGTGTCCTCAACCCTGGCACTGTGTGACTGGAAGAATGCTGCCTCTTTGTGGCCGCACTTTTGGCACAGGTGGTCCTCGGTTTGTAGCAACGTGGAGTCTTGGGACACTTCAGCAATGATATGGATCAGGTCGTCCACTTCCTGTGTGATTTTAATGACACAGATGCAGCTGTGGAAGCTTTCCTGCTGGTGATCACAATTTTGGCACTCATAGAATAGAATGTGATTCTCCTTGTCCTCCTTGGGGTAAAGCATGTTACATTCCTGGTAGAATCGAATACCCATGAAGCCGGGCTCGTAGGTCCTGTCTGATTCCATAGCAATACCTATGGTTTTAAAAACGTTTTGGTAAAAATACACGTAAAATTTGACATCGTAACCTTTTTTTTTTTTTTTTTTTTTTTGAGAGGAAGATTAGCCCTCAGGTAACACCTGTTGCCAATCCTCCTCTTTTTGCTGAGGAAGATTGGCCCTGGGCTAACATCCGTGCCCATCTTCCCCTACTTTATATGGGACACCACCACAGCATGGCTTGATAAGTGGTGAGTAGGCCTGCGCCCGGGACCTGTGAACCCCAGCCACCCAAGTCGGGCACGTGAACTTAACCACTATGCCACCAGGCCGGCCCTGACATCTTAACCATTTTTAAGTGTACTGTTCAGTAGTATTAAGTATATCCACACTATACAAGCGGTTAAGTGCACGTGCTCCACTGTGGCGGCCTGGGGTTCGCTGGTTCGGATCCCAGGCGCGCACCGACGCACCGCTTGTTAAGCCATGCTGTGGCGGTGTCCCATATAAAACAGAGGAAGATGGGCACGGATGTTAGCCCAGGGCCAGTCTTCAGCAAAAAAAAAGAGGAGGATGGGCATTGAATGTTAGCTCAGGGCTGGCCCTCCTCACAAAAAAAAAAAAAAAAAAAAGAATAACAGGACTTTTTGGGCCGGCCCCATGGCTTAGCGGTTAAGTGCACGTGCTCCGCTGCTGGCAGCCCGGGTTCAGATCTCGGGCATGCACCGATGCACCGCTGGTCTGGCCATGCTGAGGCTGTGTCCCACACACAGTAACTAGAGGGATGTGCAGCTATGACATACAACTATCTACGGGGGCTTTGGTGGAAAAATAAATAAATAAAATTATTGAAAAAAAAAAAGTATATCCACACTGTTGTGTGAACAATCTCTAGAACTTTTTTCATCTTACAGAAGTGAAACTCGATCCCTATTAAACAACTCATTTCCCTCCCTTAGTTTTTGTCTCCGAATTTGACTGCTCTAAGTATCTCATATAAGTGGAATCACACAGCAGTTATCTTTTTATGACTGGCTTATTTCACTTCACATGTCTTCGGGGTTCATCTAAGTTGTAGCAAGTGTCAGAATTTCTTTCCTCCTTAAGGCTGAATAATATTCTATTGTATGTATATACTACATTTTCTTTACTCATTTATCCATTGATGGACACTGGGATTGCTTGCATCTTTTAGCTATTGTGAATAATGCTATCAACATTGGTGTACAATATCTCTTAGTGTCCCTGCTTTCTCTTCTTTTGGGTATATACCCAGAAGTCGAATTGCTAGAACATATGGTAATTCTAATTTTTTGAGGAACTAACCATGGTGTTTTCCAAAGCAGCTGCACCATTTTACATTCCCACCAACAGTGCACAGGGTTCCAATTTCTTTGCATCCTTGCCAACACTTGTTATCTTGTCTTTTCCATTAGTCATCGAAGTGGTTGAAAGTGGTATCTCATTATGGTTTTGATTTGCATTTCCCTAATGCAAACAATAAGCATTTTTTCATGTGCTTGTTGGCCATTTGTATATCCTCTTTGGAGAAATGTCTATTCAAGTCTTTTGCCCATTTTTTAATTGGGTTGTCTTTTTGTTGTTGTTAAATTGAAGAAGTTTTTTGTGTATTCTGGATATTAAACCCTTATCAGAGAGATGATTTTCAAATATTTTCTGCCATTCTATACATTGCACTCTGGTGATTATGTCCTTTGATGCACAAGTTTTTAATTTTGATATAGTCCAATGTATCTTTTTTACTTTTGTTGCCTGTGCTTTTTGGTGTCATATCCAAGAAATCCTTGCCAAATCCAATGTTATGAAGCTTTTCCCCTTTGTTTTCTTCTAAGAGTTTTATAGTTTTAGCTCTTACATTTAGGTCTTTGATCCATTTTGAGTTAATTTTTGCATATGGTATGTAAGATAAGGGTCCAACTTTATTCCTTTGTATGTGGATATCCAATTTTCCCAGCACCATTTGTTGAAAAGTGGGGTTTTTTTGAGATGATGAAAATGTTCTGAAATTGATTGTGGTGATGCACATATCTGTGAATATATTAAAAACCATTCAATTGTCCACGTTAAATGGTGAATCGTATATGTGAACTATATTTCAATAAAGTTGTTTAAAAAAAAGTGATGAAAAACAATACAGATTGCTGGTCCCCACCCCTAGCGTTTCTGATTCAGCAGGTTTGGGGTGAGGCTGATGCTGCTAGTTTAGGGACTATACTTTGAGAATCACTCCATTAGCTCATAGATAGTTTCCTGAGGAACTTCAAAATAGTTTTCTTTTACTGTCCTTTAGAGACACAGGGATAACTGTGGTTTGTACCTGGTTCTTACATGCAGGTTCTGACATATTTTAATCTTATCTCCGTTTTCAAATAGGTGAGTGTTTCTAAAGGGAGCTTTTTTGTATATCTTCAAAGGTCTATTGGATACATGGTAAAAACACTCTTCACTTCATAAAGAGACACTGCTTAAAAAAGATTTCATATAATAAAGTTATTTTAATAGTGCAAAAAATAATCTACTTCCAATCAGTGAAAGAAAAACTTCCAAAAATTTTAATAAAAATAGCCAATACTTTGAACAAATACAAATAAGTAGGTAAATATTACAATTATGTACTCCAAACCCAAGAAAGCAGAGACCATTATTACAAGCCAAATAATTCTTGGAGATGGTCATTCCAGGTTACCAAAATGCAGAAAACAAAACTTCTACTTTTTAGGCTTACAGAAAAGAAAGAAAACAACTCCAGTAGGAAAAGTAATTTAAATTTCATGGGAAACAGACCAAATTGATGACTTCAAAAGTTTTTCAAGGCGTTCATAGAAATAGGGAACATCTATATCTTGATTTTTATGGGAAATGACTCTTGTGTTGATTTTTGAAGTTTAAAAGACTATGTGATCTTTTGACTAATAGCTCAGAAGTAGAAGCCAATCAAGAAGGAAGATAACATTCATGGGACCCACAGGACTTTAACCTGATCCTAAAGTATAAAGCAAAACTTTAAGACGAATTAGTTTAAAAATCTAAATATATTATAGTTTAGAATTAAACATAAAAGAAACAAAAATTATCATGATTAGGATTTGACTAAAGTTTGGGTAAAAGTTTTCCCATATTTATCTATCTCAAAGAAAGATAATACTGACCATTCAATATCAATGAATATGTTTATTTTTGTATATGTGAATGGTGTGGCTTCAGAAACCAATACTTATATTAAGTTCATTAATTAAGTTCATTACTACTGCGAGAACTTGATAAAACTGGTATTTTGAGTGTGAGCTTATTTGAAATATAATTATTTAATAAAAGGAGATTGAGAATTTGGCTGTAAACCATCCTTCAGAAACTGCCCAGGCAGAAGGGTATCTCTCTATACATCTCCGTGCATTTCTATATATCTCCTTACTACATCACAAACACAAAAACAATATTAATATATTTACATGTATGTATTGGGCCAAAATGAATTAACTTTCCCTAAAAAATTATACTTATTAAGAAAACAGCAATAGGAGGCAAGGCCCTCAAGAATAGATGGCAACCATTCCAATAGTTGAGTGCTATTGCTTTCTCTTAGTAATATTTCCGGAATGGAGAAAATAAGAGGATGAATAGTTTGTAGACAGACATGTCTCTACTCCAGAAATATCTGTTAGGCAGAAGCCAGGCAACCTAAAAATCATAGCTCAACACATGGGGAAATGGCTAAGGTTTTTGTCAGTGGTGACACCTCCTCTTATATTTAAAAGTTACTCTTTAGGGCTTGTACTAAAGCAGAGAGCACCACTTTAGTTAGGAGAAATTCTCTCTACATGTTCTATTACTTAAACCTTTGGTAGAGAGATGATCAAGTTGATTGCAGGCTACTTGAGGCCTTTCATCATTCTTGACTGTAGAGATTTAAAAACTAACCATACAAATTAAATATAACATCATCAGAAGGAATTTTACTAGGCTTTTTTCTATGACCTAAAGACAAAGATTAAACAGCAATAGAGATTCTGACATAATATCATTATTAAGTACACTGTGCTTGGTTGTTACAGCTGTGGTCCATGGTTCTAGTGGTAGAAATGGCAGTCCTGAAGCAGATCTTGGTAAATTTGCTTGACTACATTCTTTAGGTAGTTGTCTTCCAGTGGCACTTTAGATAGAATGCTGGTGATTTCATCTTCGCTGGAAAGAACAAAATGTTAATTAATTTTTCTGGAAACTTACACTTATCTCCATTTCAGTGGAATTCATGTTTTTGGGTACGGTCTCTGAGTCTCCGAGGAAACACAAATAGGTATTTCTGGAAATAATTAGACTGTCCAGTTTGAACTGAGAGTCCAAAAACAAGGCCTAAGAACCAATTCTGTATGTAATTACGAGGTGTCTTGACCTAGTTGTTTTCTCTGACTATAAAAATCTAAACTGTTGGTGTTTGCTGATGGATTTGAGGTGGGCACTTTTTTTTTTTTTTTGGTGAGGAACATTGGCCCTGAACTAACATCTGTTGCCAATCTTCCTCTTTTTGCTTGAGGAAGCTTGTCCCTGAGCTAACATCGGTGCCAATCTTCCTCTATTTTTTTGTATGTGGGATGCCACCACAGCATGGCTTGATGAGTGGTGTGTAGGTCCATACCTGGGATCCGAACCTGTGAATCCCGGGCTGCCGAAACAGAGCGCACAAACTTAACCACTACACCGCCAGGCTGGTGAGATGGGCACATTTTAACTTCTGCCATCTTACAGTCTGTCAGCAATGTGTCTAAAAAGTCACAAAATATATAGTAGATATGAAATATTTTTAGTTCTGGTTCCACAGACTAATTGAGAAAAGCATGACTGCTCAGTTTTTAAAGTGATTATTCTGTTTTTAAGGCCATAAAAGTTGTTCATATATGATCTGGGCTAAGCTTATGCAGGAATTTTTTTCCTTCTTGATTCCTATTTACATACAAGTGTTCAAAAAGTGGAGCAAGTATAGAGCCAGCCCTGATGGCCTAGCAGTTAAAGTTCAGCACACTCTGCATCAGTGGCCCAGGTCTGGTGCTTCAGCGGCCTGGGTCTGGTTCCTGGGTGTGGAACCACACCACTCATCTGTCAGTAGCCATGCTGTGGCGGCAGCTCACACAGAAGAACCAGAAGAACTTACAACTGTACACAATTATGTACTGGGGCTTTGCAGGGGGAAAAAGGAAGAAAAAAGGAGGAAGACTAGCAACAGATGTTAGCTTGGGGAGAATCTTCCCCTGCAAAAAAAAAAGGGGGAGCAAGTATAAAAAAAATAGACCAATGGTCTCCAGCATCCGCTGGAGATAGCAACGAAGGTTACTGACTTTAAAGGAACAAATTCTTCAAAATGAAGTCAGAGAGAAGTAACATTTGGCTCTCACTATGGTCTATCCATTTGCTGACCACTTTGAGGGATCTTTCAAATGATAAAGCAAACTAAAAAAGTAGTTGGGAGCCCTATCCTGCTGGCTCTTTACTCACCCAACGTTTCCAAGGTGATTTTGAATGGAAAAAGGTAACGGGACAGATGGATAATGGGCTGAGAGAGACAAAGTTATCTCAAACTTTGCAAATGCTGTAGAGCTGGAGAATAAAAGCCTCAATCTGTAAAAGATGAGATCCTCAATTAAAAATACAAAACAAAAACAGAACGAAACACAAATACATTTTTCTTTTACACTGGCATGTGAAACTTAGGTGTACATTATTTCTGTCCTTATCAAACAGGGAGAGGGTAAAACACCTGGAAAAAAGTATTATTATGGTTGTTTTTTCATTGTTAGTCATGAAACTCATTAATAAATTATTTTAAAAAGTTTTTGACTAATTACTTATTATTATCGGTTGAACTGTGTATCCCCTCAAAATTCATATGTTGAAGTCCTAATCCCCAGGACCTCAGAATGTGACCTTATTTGGAAATAGGGTCATTGCAGATTTAATTAGTAAAGATGAGGTCCTACTGGAGTAGGGTGGGCCCCTAATCCAAAATGACTGGTGTCCTTAGGAAAAGGGGACATTTGGACCCAGATATACATACAGGAAGAAAGTCATGTGAAGATGAAAGCAGATATTGGGGTTATATATTTACAAGCCAAGGCATGCCAAAGATTGCTTGCAAATCACTGGAAGTTAGGAGAAAGGCATGGAACAGATTCTCTTTCACAGCCCTCAGAAGGAACCAACCCTGCTGACATCTTGATCTCAGACTTCTAGCCTCCAGAACTGAGACAATAAACTTCTGTTGTTTAAGCCACCCAATTTGTAGTGCTTTGTTACAGCAGCCCTAAGCAACTAATACACTTACTCAACATTATTTACATCTATGTTCATTAAGTTACACACTTACTCAACATTATTTACATCTATGTTCATTAAGTTATAATTTGGTCCCCATCTCTTTAAAAACTCAATCTCCTCTCCAAGGAGTCTGCAATGGCTCACTACCAGTGAGATTTCTTGAAGCATCTGGGAAAAACAGGAAAAAAAAAAAAAAAGATGAAATTATGAAAACATTTCAGTGTTTATGGCTTTTTATAAAGAACCCCTCACAGTTAAACAATTTAATATATTTATGATTTCAGGATCCACTATTACATATATAAAATTTCAGTTCTGCTTTTTGGAACAGATAATGTAATTTTCCTTTAAATACTTCAATCAGAATTTACCTTGGGTACCTGATGCTGTGTTGTACATTTCTTCTTCCAGGATTCCTGTTCCTCAATGTACTGGAAAATAAGCTTATGAACTAAAAGGGAGGAAGGAGGAGCTTTATCCTCTGAGGAAGGAAAAAAAAAAAAAATCCAAAGCAAGGTATTACTTATTATTCACATATTTTATATATATAAGCTAGAAATATTATATAAACTAGAAATACCTTCAAACTACTAGGTGTCTAAGTATCTTCTTTTTATTTTCAAACACATAAACCAACATATATGGCGAACATAAAACATTCTTATAACAATTCAGGCTTTATCACATACAAAATAGAACTTGGTTAAGAGCATGGGCTTAAATGTAACATAACCTGAGTTTAAATCCTGGCTTTCCTTGCTATCTGAGTGATTCTAAGCACAACACTTACTTCTTTTGAGCTCTAGTTCCCTAATTTGTAAAATGAGGAATAATACCTACTTCACAGTGTTGAGGTAACACACACGTCTGATACAGAACAAGTACTCATAATGGTAATTTTTTAATTATGGAAATAGCTATTATTAATCTTTGCTCAAGATCTAGTAATAATTAAAAAGAAAAAAATAGGGCCGGGCCTGGTGGCATAGTGTTTAAGCTTGCAAGCTCTATTCTGGCGGCCAGGGGTTCGCAGGTTCAGATCCCAGGTGTGGACCTACACACTGTTTATCAAGCCATGCTGTGGCAGGCATCTCACATATAAGATAGAGGAAGATGTTGCCGGCCCTGTGGCTTAGCAGTTAAGTGTGCGCGCTCCGTTGCTGGCAGCCCGGGTTCGGATCCCAGGCGCGCACTGACGCACCGCTTGTCCGGCCACGCTGAGGCC